TAAAATAAATATTAAATATTAGCAGTTGACATCTAAGTGCTTAATATGTTTCAGGCATTAGGTCAAGCGGTTTAAATGCATTATTACTTTTAATCTTCACAACAACTTTAGGAAGTAGGTACTATCATCAGCCCCACTTTACATATGATGAAACTCTTGCTCAAGAGTGAAAAACCTTGTCCAAGGTCATGAGCAAGGTCACAAGTGACTCAATACAAAGATTCTGCTTCTAGAACATATGCTCTTAATTAATATATTGCCTTACCCTGCTGTTAAACTGAACAATCAGCCGCCTTACATGAAAATTTAGTATCAGATTCAAATAGTTATTAAAACTGGGTTAGTTATTGCCTTTAACAGATTAAATAATACTAAATAACATTTAAACTATAATGTTTGATTTGAAAGATAAATCTTTAAGGTAGTACCTTCAATGTACAGAAAAAATTTAATTCTAGATGATACTTTGTTAGAGTTTATAAGCATATAGGGAGAAGCAAGATGAGATTATTTAATCCTACAGTGTGAAAAATTCTAAGAAATTGTAAATAAGAATCTCAGGTTGTTTTTTGGGAAGTTTTGTTGTTGTTGCTGTTGTTTTGAGACAGGGTCTCGCTCTGTTTTCTGGGCTGGAGTGCAGTGGTGTGATCGTAGCTCACAGCAACCTCAAACTCCTGGGCTCAAGCAATCCTCCTGCCTCAGCCTCCTGAGCAGCTGGGACTACAGGAGAGTGCCACCATGCCCGGCTAATTTTTCTGTTTTTTGTAGAGACTGGGTCTTGCTCTTGCTCAAGCTGGTCTCAAACTCCTGGCCTCAAGCAGTCCTCCTGCCTTAGCTTCCCAAAGTGCTAAGATTACAGGCATGAGCCACCACACCTGGCCAAGAATCTCAGGTTTATACTGCCAAAATGCAGGACAGCAATGTATTATGATGTGAAGTCAAAGAACCACACATTTGTTTTCCAAGGAATTTGTCCATTTTATCTAAGTTGTTGCATTTATTGGCATAAAGTTGTTCTTAATATTCGTTACTACCCTTTAATGTCCACAGAATGTGTAGTGATACTCCCACTCTCTCATTCCTGCTACTGGTAATTTGTGTCTTCTTTTTATCCTGACCAGTCTGGCTAGAGATTTATCAATTTTATTCATTTTCTCAAAGAATCAGCTTTGGGTGGCTCACGCCTCTAATCCTAGCACTCTGGGAGGCCAACGAGGGAGGATTGCTTGAGCTCAGGAGCTCGAGACCAGCCTGAGCAAGAGCGAGACCCCGTCTCTACTAAAAAAAGAAAGAAATTAATCGGACAACTAAAACTATATAGAAAAAATTAGCCGGGCATGGTGGCGCATGCCTGTAGT